CTGATCGATTTGACGTCGCTGTGCTGACGCTCGATCGTAATGTGCATTATATGCCTCATATAGGTAAGTTTTACATTATTTTTTTTAAAGAGCTATTTAAAGTGTTTTATTCCTCTACCAGCAAATGATGAAATCATAACCTTGATACCAACATCTATGGACGACAAAGAATCATTTATTCAATTCACTCTTCGTTCCAACTTCGTTATTGGACAAGAATATAGAAGTTAACAATTTTGTGCTGTGCTGGCCAGTTCAATATACTTAACGGCACATCCTGAATATCGATTATGTGATTTTTTGAATAGCATAGTTTTAAATTGTTATCTTAAATATTTTCAGCTCCAATCTGCTTGCCGGAGCGAGGGTCTGACTTCCTAGGGCAGTACGGTTGGGCAGCGGGTTGGGGCGCGCTAAGTCCCGGCTCAAGGCTGCGCCCGCGCACCCTGCAGGCCGTTGACGTGCCTGTACTAGATAACAGAGTGTGCGAACGGTGGCATCGTGCTAATGGTAAATAATGACTGACATTATTAACAAGATAAAAAGGTACATCTCTAAATGGGAAACAAACTTTCGGATCTGATTGTTAGTTGAAAACTTATAATACTAATAAAGACGATATTCTTTTGTTTTCCTTGCTAACATTTCCAAGACAACTGTTTCCGTTTTTTTTTATAGAACCGTCTCTGTTGTCAAAGAGAATAAAAGAGACAACAATAATAATACAAGTGAGACAGCAGTTAAAAGCTGTAGCAATATTATTGATACATTAATTTGTTTGAGGCTTTTTGAATTATATTAACTTCAAATCAATAACGAATTTACCTGCACCTCTGTATCTTTATATTCATTTTATTTATATATTTTCAAATTCTTTTCCAGGAATTAATGTAGTCATATACCCCGAGATGCTGTGCGCGGGTTACCGGGGCGGAGGGAAAGACAGCTGTCAAGGCGATAGTGGCGGGCCTTTGATGTTGGAGAGGGCGGGGCGCTGGTACCTCATTGGTGTC